AGGTTCAACCATCTAAATTGCCTTTAAACAGCCGATTTACCGGTTTATAGCTTGCACTGATTTCATCAATTCAAGACTACCTCGAATATTTATGACAAAAAATAATGATCAAATATGGTTCCAAATGACATTATATGACCACAAAATGTATTCACTAAAATTTTAAAACTTTTCGACACTAAGATCCGAAACCTTCAAAATTTCTCAAAAGCATGGAAATTAGACTTCAATTTTGGATTTCTTTCACTTTTTTGCACCCGGAAATAAAAATTGTAGAAATGTTTACCATGGTCACAAATACCCTCCGGGAGTTCAATTGGGTGGGTGGAACGATCCAATTGCCTTTAAACGACCAATTTATACCGATTTACAACTTTATCCATTATCATTAACTCAAGTCTACCTCGAATATTTATGACAATATATAATGATCATATATGGTTCCAAACGACATTATAAAACCCTGAGATGTATTCCCTAAAATCTCAAGGATTTTCGACACCGTGTCCCGAAACCTCCAAAATTTCTTTAAAAAGCATGGATATGCCTTTAATTTTGGAATTTTTTAACTTTTTATCGCCCGAAAATGAAAATTTCCGAAATGTTTACCATGGTCCCTAATACGGTAATACCCTCCTGGAGTCAAATTTGGTGGGTGGAACCATCTAATTTGCCTTTTAACGACCAATTTATCTGTTTACAACTTGTACCGATTTCATTAACTCAAGCTTACCACGAAAATTTATGACAACATATAATGATCATATACGGTTTCAAACGACATTATATGACCCCCCCAGATGTATTCCCTAATAACTCAAGACTTTGGGACACCAGGTCCCGAAACCTACAAATTTCTCAAAAAGCGTGGACATTAGCTTTCAATTTTGAAAATATTTGACTTTTTTCGCACGAAAATAAAAATTGCAAAAATGTTTACCATGGTCCATAAATACCCTCAAGTAGTCCTATTGGGTGGGTGGAACCATCCGATTTGCTTTTAAACGACCGATTTACCAGTTTACAACTTGCACCGATTTCATTAACTCAAGCCTCCACGAACATTCATGACAACAAATAATGATCATATATGGTTCCAAACGACATTATATGACCCCGAGATGTATTTCCTAGAAGTTCAAGGCTTTTCGATACCGAGCCCTGAAACCTCCAAAATTTCTCAAAAAGGGTGGATATTAGTTTTTAATTTTGGAAATTTTAGACTTTTTTTCGCCCGGAAATAATAATTGCCGAAATGTTTACTATGGTCTCTTATACTCTTCGACAGTCCAATTGGGTGGGTGGAACCATCTAATTTGCCTTTAAATGACCTATTTACCGATTTATGACTTGCACCGATTTCACTAACTCAAGCCTACCACGAACATTTATGACACCAAATAATGATCATATATGGTTCAAAACGGAATTATATGACCCCCGAGATGTATCCACTGGATTTTCAAAACTTTTCGACACCGGGCTCCGAAGACTCTAAAATTTCTCAAAAAGGTGGATATTAGCCTTCAATTTTTGATTTTTTTTTACTTTTTTTCGCCTGAAAATAAAAATTGCCAAAATTTTTTACCATGGTCCCTAGTACCGTTCGGGAGTCCCATTGGGTGGGTGGAACCATCCAATTTGTCTTTAAACGACCAATTTACCGGTTTACAACTTGCACCGATTTCATTAACTCAAGCCTACTACGAACATTTATGACAACAAATAATGATTACATATGGTTCCAAAACGACATTATATGACCCCGAGATGTATTCCCTAGAATCTCAAATGTTTTAGGCACCGGGCTCCGAAGACTCCAAAATTTCTAAAAAAGGTGGATATTAGCCTTCAATTTTTGAATTTTTTTGACTTTTTTTTCCGCCTGAAAATAAAATTGCCGAAACATTTATCATGGTCCCTAATACTCTTCGAGAGTCCAATTGGGTGGGTGGAACCATACAAATTGCCTTTAAACGGCCAATTTACCGGTTTACAACTTGCACCAAATTCATTAACTCAAACCTACCACAAACATTTATGACAACATATAATGATTATATATGATTCTGAGCGTCATTAAATGACCATGAGATGTATCCCTTAAATTTTCGAGGCTTTTCGACACCGGGCCTTGAAATCTCCAAAATTTCTCAAAAAGCGTGGATATTAGCCTTCAATTTTGGATTTTTTTTTACTTTTTTTTGCCTGAAAATAAAAATTTATGAAATGTTTACCATGGCCCCTAGTACCCTCTAGGCTTCCAATTTGGTGGCTGGAACCATCCAATTTGTCTTTAAACGACCAATTACCGGTTTACAACTTGCACCGATTTCATTAACTCAAGCCTACCACGAACATTTATGACAACAAATAATGATTACATATGGTTCCAAACGACATTATATGACCCCGAAATGTATTCCCTAGAATTTCAATACTTTTAGACACCGAGCCTCAAAGACTCTAAAATTTCTCAAAAAGGTGGTATTAGCCTTCAATTTTTGAATTTTTTGACTTATTTTTGCCCAAAATAAAAATTGCCGAAAAGTTTATCATGGTCCCTAATACACTTCGAGATTCCAATTGGGTGGGTGGAACCATCCAATTTGCATTTAAACGGCCAATTTACCAGTTTACAACTTGCACCAATTTACCGGTTTACAACGACCAATTTAATTAATTTGCACCGAACTCGACTTGAACTAAAATTGACCCAAACCCGTTTTAACCCGAATTTAACACGACTATTTAATAACCTGATCTGAATTCAACTCGACTCGTTCCTAACCCGACCCGAATTTAACCCAACCTGTTACAAACCCGACCCGAAATCAACCCGACTTGTTATTGACCTGACTCAAATTCAACCTGACTTGTTATTTACCCGAACCGAATTTTACCAAACCTATTACTTACCCGACCGAAAAATTCAACCCGTTCTGTTACTAACCCGACTTGAAATTAACACGACTTGTTATTGACCCGACCTAAATTTAACCCATATTGTTCTGACCCGATTTCATATCACGTTAAATGCAATTTAGACCAACTTATTATTGTTGATCAAAGCATTTTGTCTAGGGAGACCAAGTCGGTTCAGGCCAGCAAAAGAAAGGAGCATCATCCTCAAATTTAAGAGTTAAATATAGTATATATTTGTTGTGTGGTCAAAGTAGATAATTATCTTCCTAGATTATAGACTATAGTTCCCTAATATATTGTCATATATATAATAGTCAAATTAAATAATTAGCTTGATAAAAATGATAATTATCTATTTATAGTTAGTTAAACCTGAATATGACCTGACTTGGAAATGACTCGACCTGATTGTAACCTGCAAATTATTGACTTGAACATAACCCGACTTGAATCCGAGAATAACCCAACTTGGAAATGACCAAATTGATTATAACCCGCAAAGTATTGAATTGAATCGATCTCGACTTGAAAATGACCCGAACTGATTATAACCCGCAAATTATTGACTTGAACCGAACCCAACTCAAACCGAGAATGACCCGACCTGATTATCACCCGCAAATTATTGACTTGAACCCAATCCAACTCGAAAATTACCCTAACCCGTTTTAACCCGAATCAAACCAACCTATTGTTCACTCGACCCGAATGTAACCGACCTGTTATTAACCCGACCCAAACCCGATAAGAAGTATGACTCGCGTGACCCGATTCAAGCATGATCCAACCCAAACCCGACCCGCATAGGTTATGGAATTAATCCGAATTGATCCGATCCCAGTTGACTTGACTTGACCCACTCTTATCAACCCAAACCCGAATTGACAACTCTACTTTTCATTAGTGGAAAAATGTCATTTTCCCCCTATTCCTATTCCCATCCATTTATTACCTACCCTTCCTAGGTAATAAAATGGTGGGAATTCACCCATAAATAATCCCATTCCCAAACCCTTTTTTATTCCCATTCCCATCAACCAAACAAGGGTTATTTTTTTTATATTGGGATTAAAACTCCCAATTCCACCCTCAATTCCCACTTACCAAACACCCCCTAATTGTTTAAAGATGAAGTGGATGATTTCACCTGACACAATTTGTCTCTCGGCAATCTCAGGATGTTGTAGGGTTCATTAGACAATACTTCAAACTCTTTCCAATTCGGGTCCAAAAAGTTACAAATTTGCTTCAAATTGAAGGCTATAATTTACGATTTTGGAGGTTTTAGGACCTAATATTGAAAAATTCAAGATTGTAGGGGGATGCATCACGTAGTCATATAATATTGTTTGGAATCAGATACTTCGTATGATAAATTGTGGTCTTATAAAGTCCCATGGTAGCCTCAAGTTATAATGTTTTATGTATGAAAATTCAAATGACTTCGCAATAGGTCTATTCATTGGTCGAAGACCGGACTAAAGACCGAAAAATTGAATTTTATGAACTGAAAACCGAACCGAACCTGGATCAGACCAAAAATCTGGTCTAGAAACTGGACCGGATCGGTTTGGACCGATTTTGGAATTTTTATAAAAATTTTCTAAATTTTAAACAATTTTTGGAAAATTCGGAAAAAATAAAGGAAAAACAATATTTTAACGTCTTTTTTCTGTATGTTTAGTTCACAACATCTCATACGACAAAATTTTTTCAAGCTAGTTAAGGTTAATCTCAATCAATACTAAAAATTTTATGTGTAATTTTAAGCAAAAAAAAAAAAAAGGGCCAAAACCGATTTATAGGGTTTTGAACCAAACTGGGAAAACAAATTTCTCTATCCGAAGATCGGACCGATTAGTGTGGTCCGGTCTATGCTAGTCCGTTCAATTTTTTTGGTCCGGACCACATTTAGAACGCCCCTACTTCGTAGAGTGTCGTGGGATCCATGAAAAGAATCTCCGATCCTTTCTTTTCCGGATCCAAAAAAGCAAAGTTGATTTGGAGTCATAAAAGACCTAAAGCCTGGTTAGTTGAGTGCTTTGGTATTGAATTTTTTTTTTTTAATTTTTTTTTTAACAGAGCAATTAACCAAGGCAGAAGCTGAAACGCTAAACTAGAGTGAAAGAGAGAGTAAAGATGGGAGGGAAAGCAAAGAAGAGGAGAGAGAAAAACTATCTAGCTGCTCATGGCGGCAACAACCGCCTCCCTCCACCTCCCAACACTTCTTCTATCGACGCTTTGCCTTCCAAACTCCGCAAAATCTTGTCTTTTGCTTCTTCTCCCGTCCCTGCTAATCAAGGTTTTTCTTCCCTCCTTTTTAATTTTACGATTATTATTGTTATTAATATTACTTTTTTTTTCCTTTAATTTTTTCCCATTTGTTTTCTTATACTTTGAATTAATGGGTTATTATATTTTCAGGGTCTGCGATTGATTCGAAGAATACTCAAAAGAAGAGCAAAAAAGTAGATAATGCTCTAAATGTAAGCCCTTTATTGGTAATTTTAAGTCTTTTTGTAATTTTTGTTTGAAGAAATTTGAGCATTTGGTTTGTTACCCATATTTTATTAATGCGTTATGGACAATCTTGTAGCTTGGATTTTATGATATTGTCTTCAAATTACGGTTTAATAGAATTGAACGATTTTGCATTATAGGAGTATAATTTGTATAAAGGACTAGTGATTCTGTGTAACTATGGTTTTGCTGTTTGTATATGGAGATTTGGATGCCTAAGCTTGTATGGCTTCCTTGTTTGACACCGTTTCAAAACTAAACTAAAAGGCTGCAGCAACCTATTATACCTTGATTAGGGTTTTGAATTTTTTGATGTTTGTATTAAGTGCTCTGAATTTGCTCATGTATTGGTTTTTGGTTTAATTTTGGTGAGTAGTTGTTGAACTTTGTAACAAGGGGAAGTTAGTGGCTCGAGTTTTCAAAAGTATGATGTAAATGAACGAATTGAGAATATGACTTCTAGTTATAATTCTGTTCTATGGCTGAAGTTTACGATTATTTTAAAACGTTTTGGACAGGAAGACAAGGACTTAGTTTGGATTTAAAGAAGTTTTTCAATTCTTATTATTGGAAATTTACTATCCTTTCTGCTCAACTTTTCTTTCCTAGACCGAGATAGTTAAATGATTTAGGGTGGCAAGGGCAAGGATATGGGGCATCCAGGAAGTCTACACTATTTAGTTTGAGTATTTGTAGAGGCTACTTCAGTATTCGTCTACAATTAATGGGGTCTAGAACTTGATTGTAGCTGCTTGCTATGTTGTTAGTGGGATAGCATTGGGGTCTTAATCCTGGTAGCAAGCACTGACATTACTAATGAAATATCAGACATTTCCTCATACTTCTTCGATATACATTGTTTAGGAAGATCTGGATTAGATGTCCACTAAAAAGACTTCAATATTAATCTCTACATAATCTTAAACAAGGAAAGCTTATGACATTACTAATGATATCTCAGACATGGTAGCTTAGGTTGATCAGTGGAGGTTCTTATATCTATTTGGCTTACCATTATGTTCAAATAGAATTATGCATTCTGTATTTCTGATTTACAAATCCAAAGGATCTTTACATTTCACCCCAGATAATACTATTTTCTGAATGTGCTGATGATGAAACTGTATAAAAATTTCAAAAAAAAAAGTTCTCATAGGAGAAATAAGGTCTTTAAGCCTAATTAAGTACACTCATTTATATGTGCCAAGTATAATGACTCTTAATTATAAATTTAGACGTTTGGAGTTTAATTATTGAACTTAAATGCAGAAACCTCACTCAAAATCTGAGGTGGACGGTAAAAGCAAAGGAACTAAAGGAGAAAAGGTAAAAAAATCAACTGTGCCGCAAGAAAAAGTGAGCACTGATGCAAATGAAGAGAAAAATAAGAAGAAACGGAAGCGAAAGCAAGCAAATGACCTACGATTTGAAGCAGAGATGGAAAAGTTGGATGGTGTTTCAACAAGAAAGCAGCGGAAGAAAGAGTAAGTTTTTTTTTTTTTGGGTTTCTGTTTGTTTGTTTTTGTACTCAAACAGAGTTGGATTGTTGTATTTGTCATTATGAGTGGTTGAGTCAGAGAAAACAATCTAGTGTTGGACATAATAGGATTAAGTTTTGTCGATTTATTCCTCCCTCGAGACCCCCCCCCCCCCCCCCAATACACACACACACAAATACAAACAAAAGTTAAAAAAATAAATTAAACAAAGGGAAAACTTTGAAGTTTTATATTGCTGAAATGAAGATTTATTCACATATTGAGCAGACCAACTTCCTGGGTAATGGGTCAGAGCTGAATGATCACTGATGCGATTTGGATGCTTTTACTTTGATTTTTTGCCTTTTTCTTTTGGTGCTTATGAGCTTGTGTAAATTAAGCCATGTTTTGACGCAGGTTTTTAAAGGCTAAGAAAAAGAAACAAAAGAAAGGCAGTTCAGAGCAGATTCTTGATCTTCCAAAGCATGATATAGTTAAATTTGGAGAGGTTGCTGAAGCCCCCCCGAAGTTGCCTACTATTCCTGTAAGTAGCATCTCATCTACCTGTTATTGCAGTGTGTATGTTACTACATCTATTGACCCATATGCTTTTGCAGGCATTTAGAAAAGCTATGTCTGCTTCAAATGAGAGGCTACGATTACAGGCTATTGAGGCTTATAGAAAACGTAAAGGATGGACTAACAGACCAGGAATTCACCTTCCTCCTGTGAGCACATCCCCAGATTTGTTATGATTTCTGCTCTAGTTAGGCCATTTTTTACTTAAAGCTTATCAGCGCCAGTTTTACTTTTTGTATTGTGACAACTTTTACAGTCTCTGGTAGAACATGTAAGTGCCTTCAATTACTTTGTGAAATGCAGATTTTGTTTTTGTTATTGTGCAGCAATACGCTGTCTTTTAAGCGGTTAAGCCTTTTGATTCACCTACTTGTAATACAATGAAAGTATGATTAAGATTCTGGAGTACACATTACACATTAGTACATTACATTGGAGGATTCAAATCACTTAATACAGACAAACCTTAGTTGAGAATTGAAACTTGACTACTCACCCTCTTAACCCCTTAGCTGAAATTAGGTTTACTTGTACTATCGAATTATTGGGATTACATCACAGAACTTCGGAGGAAGAGGAGTGATTTTTTTTTTCTTTTTTTTTTTTTTTTTTGGGGGGGGGGGGGGGTGGTGGGGGGAGGGGTGGGGAGGGGGTTTGAAATTCTCTAAATTTTTATGGGTGCCTTATTCTCGAGGGATAGCCCGAACAAATAAACCACCATCAATATGAAGGGTTATCATTGTCCTGTAATTCACAGCTCTTTCCTCATCACCGAGTTTGAAGATAAAATTCCTCAATAGCACAGCAGAAAATATTTTCATTTGCTTGTAAGCAAATTCCTTTCCGAGACAAATCCGTGGACCTGCCTGTGAACCAGGATATGCAAAAGTGCTGAGAATTTTTAAAGATCACAGATGCTATTGGAATTTTTTTAAAAGGCATGTAATAATGGTAAAATCTGACCTGGAAGGCTGTGAACTTGAAGGGACTTTCAGGTTGAAAAACACCGTTCTTGTCAAGCCATCTTTCTGGTCTAAAATCCTCTGCATCATCGCCCCAAACAAATTTCATTCTTCCCATTGCATAGGGTTGGTAAGTTACCAAGGTCCTTCTCTTCACACTGTAACCATCAGGGAGTGTATCATCTGCAAAGCATATCTTTCCATCCTGTAGCAGAATTAAATTAACCATCATGTGAGTGTATAATACTATCATCTGAAAAGTGCCCTTTTTCATATTTCTTTCTGTGAAAGGGGACTGTATAATTATATGTGAATGAGTGACAATTATCTGATGTCCAGTATAAATACCACTGGAACTGCTGGGTAGAGTCTGAGTGTTTCAGTCAATGATGCGTGTAGATATTGCATTTTGTTGAGTAATTCTTCATCTAAACTGGCTGCAAATTCTGCAGTGTTCTCACCCTCTTTCGTGTCTGAAACCTTCTTTACTTCTTCCGCAATCTTTTCCTGCACTTCTGTGTGTTTACAAAGCATGTAAACAAACCACGAAAGAGTAGCTGCAGTGGTGTCTTTTCCGGCAATCACAAATTCAGTATTATGTCTCTCAGATATTTTGGATCGGTAGTGTGCAGCTGCAAGAATCTGGACAAGAGGTCATCTTTTTTCATTTGCATCTCCTGTGTCACATTTCAACAGTGCATCAATGATGAGCCTAGTTGCTCGTATCACAAGCTACTCAAGCTTGGTTTCAAGAAATTGATATTCATAGAAGAGCTATAATTTCCTTAATAGCCTGAGAAATTAAGTCATTAGGTATTTGGCTTCTTAGTCATAATCTCTCGGTCTCTCCTGTTAGGGAGTTTTAAGTAAGCAATCACTTACTGAGTTATTGCCTTGGGACTTCTGCAGTAGCTCAATTTTGTTGCTAATCAACTTGTAAACAAAATCATCAACAATTCTGATGTTTTTCTTGAGATTTGCCTCTGAACCAATGTTGAGATATCTTTTGATGCGCCAGAAGATGTCGACATATCTGTACAGGCACATAGCACTAGCATTATCAAAAGCTTGGCTAAATTTTTTACCTTCTTCATTTGAGCCACACATACTGTCTAGATCAACTCCAAATGCAACCTTGAATATGGAGTCTAATGTCGATCTCATAAACAAGTCCTGCAGAGCGCAATATCAGAACTGTACAAAGAACATGAAAGTTTTCAAAGCACAAATACATCCATTAGGCATCTTACTTGGATGTCCATGATTGGATTAGAACTTGCTGCATTAGTGATTTCTTTTGCTAGTTTCACTGCTTTTTCCTGGAAGATTTTGCTGCTGAAATCCCTCAACATCCTTGTTGTGAACTCGTAGCTTGAGACTTTCCTTTGGTTGCGCCATTTATCTCCATCAACAGCAAAGATCCCATCACCTAGCAGATCGCTTAGATTGTCATAGTTGTAATCCCCCTGAAAGTTTCCATTAGTGCCAATGTTTTTTACAGAACACATAAAACTAAGGATTTTAACCAGAAAAAAATCAGGTCTAATATTTGGTGTTGGTTCAAAACCAATCCCAAAATTCAAAATATTAAAAAACTACAGAAGTTTATAATCTCACAAACTTATTGATCACATCCTCAAGTTCATGCAACGTTCAAACATTGTAACAAAACCGTAAATTTCATTAAAGAACAAATGCGAGCAATGTATAAATTTCATTAAAGAACAAATGCGCGCAATGTATATATATATACATATATACCTTGCCATAGTTCTGAAAGTTAGTTCTGAGAATATACTCTACATTAGCAGGATCAGAAGTGTAAATTTCATGTCGAAACGGAGCCAACAATCTGTATGTTTTATACTTGGCAGCAAGATCAGTCATGTAATGATGAGCCCTGTCAAAGTTTAGAAGCTGATGGAAAAAGGTTCCTGCAATTGGGGGGTATTTCCTTTTTCCATGTTTCTTCAAATACTTATTTTTAAGAAATAATTTAGTAAAGACAACAACCAAGATTGAAAAAAACTGTGAATATCAGAGTAATTGACTTGAAATTTGGATTATAAGTTTCCATTATCATAAAGTTTTATGCTTTGATAAGCTGTATGAAATTAAACAGGATTTTGCTTTAACAAAATACGGTATATATAAAGTATGAATGTCTTCAATAATTGATCTCCACCTTCTGTTATTTTTGGCATGTTTTGTCGTTTATCTCAGTTCATTGAAGCAGGCTAATTTTCATTTATTTGATAACTTTGCATAAATTTAGAGATTAGTACTACAATATGTGTAGATGTATGCGTGGATGCTTAACTGTATTATCTTCAGAGGAGAAAAATGTTGGGTTTTGAGCGGTTATAAATTAATCTACAACTCTACAACAAAACCATTTGTGGATAATTGCACCAGCCTAATGTGATTTTTTTTATTTTTTAATATATATCATTTTGGTAAAAAAATAATGGTTAGAAGTTGACTCATTAGTCCAAAAAGAATTGATTTTATTATTATTTTTATTTTTGTAAGGTAGTTATTTAATTTTGGGTTGGATTAATCCAGTTCGGGTTAGTTTTTGTAATTACATAAATGAGCTTAATGATGGAACACTTTGTATATAAAATAAAATGAGCTAATCAGCTAAGCCTACACCGTCTACTATTATAATTGCGTCTAAAACTTTTCAACGAGTATTCTATTCAATTTAATGAACTTAAAACCAGTAGTCAAAACAAATGTTGAAATCGTCCATTTTACATCTTAAATTGTCAATTTAGCTACTTATGATAGACTCAAGTCCACCTCGAGCCTTTGTGTGAGCTATTGCCTACTATTGATAGCATAAAGTTCCAAACAACATTTTATTACCACGGGAAGCATCCCCAACTACAATTAGAGTTTTCTATACCGAGTCTCAAAATCTTCCATAATGGCCAAATTTTGTGTAATTTACATAGCTTTTAGATAACATTTTCGGTCCAATAAGGTTATGCATCGAGGCACTTCTTAGGGTTCCCAAAAAACCTCAGGAGGCCAATTTGCTGCCCAAAACCAAATGGATACTGCAAATTCACCTTCATCCTTATAAGCACATCTCTTGCTGATTGATAATAGCTGCTGCTAATGTGCTATGTAATGCTGCTGATAGCCTGATAACTATTGGCTTCTCAAATCCTCACTTAACAGAGCAAAATGCAGTCAAACTTTTCCTCTTGCAAAAAAAAAAAAAAAAAAAAAAAAAAAAAAATTACCTTTACGGAATTAGGTGGAGATGTAATTAACTTTAAAAAAGAAGGATTTTAGTTAAGTAGGAGACATATACACAATACACCATTTTTACTTAGAAATTACATAAACATTCACAGTTGAATTTTGACATTACATTTTGAATGAAGTACACCTTTTTTTTTTTTTTTTGAGAGGGGTATGGTAGGGAGTTTTTATACCTTAATCTCACTTATTCTCGATGAAGAGCACAAATGTGTAAACCACCATCGATATGAAGATTTATCATTGTCCTATAATTCACTGTACTATTCTCATTACTGAGTTTGAAGATAAAACTGCTCAACAGAACTGCAGAAAAGATCTTCATCTGCCTGTAAGCAAATTCCTTACCCAAGCAAATTCGTGGGCCTGCCTGTTAATACCGAAAAAAAAATACAAGTAAAGACTAAGAATTTCAACTGAGGCTTTAATATAATCTTAGTGACTCTAAAAGGCTTAGCGTGTAATAGTCGAATCCAACCTGAAAGGCTGTGAACTTGAACGGACTCTCTGGCTGGAAGACGCCGTCTTCACTAAGCCATCTTTCTGGCCGGAAATCCTCTGCATCATCACCCCAAATAAAACTCATCCTTCCCATTGCATAGGGTTGGTAAGCCACTGTGTCTCTTTTGTTCACACTATAACCATCAGGGAGTGTATCATCGGAAAAACACATCTTCGAATCCTGAGGTTATATCAATATATTAAGCATTCTTAGTACTCACTTCTATTTCATGACGTCTACAACAGGAAAGGAAACAATATAAGCTTGCAAAGAATTATGTTTGTTTAGGCTTCGTTGTCTAATAAAAACCATTTCTTTTCTTCTTTTCGTAAGCAAGGATAGTAAGACTTTTATGAGAACAGGTAAAGATTTTCTGAATGAGACTAAAATTACCACGGGAACTGCTGGATAGAGTCTGAGAGTCTCTGTCAATGCAGCATGAAGATACTGCATTCTTTCAAGTGATTCTTCAGTCAAACTAGCAGCAAATTCTGAAAATTTTCCTCCCCCTTCCATTTTTGTAAATTTCCTTACTTCTTCAGCAACCTTTTCCTGTATATTCTGGTGTTTACAAAGCATGTAAATAAACCATGACAGTGTAGATGCTGTGGTGTCTTTGCCCGCAATCACAAAGTTCAAAATTATATCTCTCAGATACTTAGAATCAGTGTTTTTCAGCTCCAAGAATCTGGACAAGATATCATCCTTCTTAATCTGAATTTCCTGTGTCACAGACACAGACAATTCACATGGAAAGGACACGTAAATGATAAATCCCTTAAACTGATATGACTAAAAGAAGGTTTAAGTAGTTATAACTTATAGTTCACTTACTGAAAAATTGCTTTGTGGACTTTTCATCAGCTCCACTTTGTTACTGATTAATTTGTAAACAAAATCATCTACGATTTTGATGTTTTTCTTTAGTCTAGCCTCAGCACCAATGTTGAGAAATTTCTTGATTGGCCAAAGGATGTCTACATACCGGTACAGGGATAAAGCGCTAGCATCATCAAAAGCCTGGCTGAACTCCCTCCCTTCTTCACTTGAGCCGCACATACTGTCCAGCTCAACTCCAAATGCAACTTTGAAAATTGAATCTAATGTTGACTTCATAAACAAGTCCTACACAAAGCTTTGTCGAGTTAAATACTTCAAAAGCAGCTCATCTTATCAGAAAAAAAAACCTAATACATGAAACCATCTTACTTGGATGTCCATAATTTGGTCAGCACTTGCAGCATCGGCGATTATCTTTGCTAGTTTAACAGCATTTGTCCGAAAGATCTCGCTGCTGTAATCCCTCAACACCCTTGTAGAGAACTCATGGCTAGATACTTTCCTTTGGTTGCGCCATTTTTCCCCATCCACCGAAAATATCCCATCACCCAGTAGATCACTAAGATGTCCATAGTTGTAATCCCCCTGTAATTTGTTACAAGAATGTTACACAATAGTGAAATCCTGCAATATAGCCTGGCTACTGGTTTAGATGACTTTCACAAGTCCCTGAGGGTTGAGAGTCTGAGACCCCTTACCTTCATTTTTTGTAACTAAATGAGAACATACCCTAAAAGTTTTTTTTTTTTGGTAGGCACCATCATCAACTTACATAGTTACATCATACATTAAACTAAATTAATTACCAAAGGCCAGCAATTTTATTACTCCTCTCAAACATTGTTATAAAATACACCCGAATATTTAATAGACATTCAGCCTCTTATATACGTACACACTTGTGACACCACACGTCCACAAATTAAGAGTTGTTCAACCACAATATCAAGTATACTTACAAGATGGACACTCTCCTATTATTGGCAAATGGTAAAGGCTGAGTAATCCATACGGACTAATTAAAAATGAGAAGAGAGTAATAACTAGCATGCCCTTATCAAGCTGGAACCTCTCATAAATCCATTCGGTCCAAAGTAGTGGGCTAGGGGTACCCTTTTTGGGAGTGGGGGGAAGGCCAAAGGGGTAAGGAAATTTCTCACTCCAAAGTACGAGTAAGTATTACCCACTACCATGGTATGGGTAATACTACCCAATACCACAATTTTTTTTTCTTTTTCCTTTTTTTTTCCCCTTTCCTCTTCATCTTCTTCCTTCTTTAAACCCTTTTCCCCACCTCCATGGATAGCTCCCATTGCCGGCCAAACCTCCGCCCACCGCGCCTTCACCTCCGACAACAAGAAGCCCACCCCACCGGCTACTACCTTGGTCGAAATCCAAAAACATGAACTACCTCCATTAAAAATCACCGGAAACCACCCAAAAAAACATAACCCAAAAACAAGAGACACAAACTTATGGCTCTAGCCATTAAAAACGGTGAGTTTTGTGCTGGAAATCGCTGAGTTCGGTCGAAATTGACGCCGGTAGTTTTTTGTCGGTGCTCAGTTATTATTAATTTCTATACTGTTATTATTGGTTTGTATACTGTTATTATTGATTTTTATACTGTTATTCATAATTTATATACTGTTATTGAGAGGGGAGAGACTGCACTTTTACAATATGGGTAAGTTTTACGTGAAATTACATTTTTGCCCCTGATATGGGCCCAACGAGCCCATACCTGGTAGTGGTCTATCACTACTCCCAAAGTACACCTCTAACCAATTTGATCACACAAGATGAAAACTTTCCACTAGACAAAGCAAACAGAACAAAAACAGTACTCCGTACTAAATTTTCCAAAAAAAAAAAAAAAAAAAAAAAAGAAAATTCACCAAATTAAAATCGTCCCAAAAGAAAAAAATTTACTCAAGTAAAAAGCATTTAAAAATAGAAAGAAGAATACTTGCAAAATCAAAATTATCCCAAAAAAAAAATAATGGTAATAGTGATAAATACCTTGCCATAGTTATCAAAGTTGGTCTTGAGAATATACTCAACATTAGCAGGATCAGAAGTGTAAATCTCGTTTCGAAACGGCGTAATAATTCTGTAAGTCCTATATTTGGAAGCAAGATGAGTCATGTAATGATGAAGCTTCTTGAAGTTAATGAGGTGATGAATCATGGTCCCACCAATTGGGTGGTATTTTCTCTCTCCATTTTTATGTAACCGCTTCTTGATTCCCAGAAAAACCAGTATTATTACGATTGTTGGAGTGATTATGTATGTGAAATTTTCGATCTGGGTTTCCATTGTTTTGATTTTTTTTTTTTAGGGGAAAGATTTTAGCTGCTTTGTGCAGCGCAATACTTGAGAGTTGTTTAACACGGATTGTATTGTATTGGTGAGTGTTGACTTTGTTGAGGGGCGGGAGTAATACGAAGTACTACAGTACTACTCCATCCGTCCCTAAATTACATTTCTCTTTTAAAATTTACACGGGAATTAAGAAGGGAAGAATAAGACAAATAACAATAATTAGATAATGTAATGGGAAGTACAAAGATAAATTAGTTATTACTCATGACATGCCATCAATCCTTTGAAAAAAAGGATCAATCATATGCTCCTAATTGAAAATTTTTAACCAATCATATTCATTGTAATTTGGCACAAGGATTATGAGTGAGATTATATAAGGATGAGTGAGAAAGCATTAAATATAAAACAGAAAAAGAGAGTTGATTTACTAAAAAACACTTACCAAAAATAGAAAGGAGGAATGTAATTTTGGAATACCAAAAATAGAAAGGAGGAATGTAATTTAGGGACGGGAGGGAATACTGTTTTCATTTGTAAGACGGAGTAAATGCTTCATTTTGATCAATAATGAGATTATGTAATATTCCTTTCTTTTTTTTACACATACCTAGTATGTAACATTCCTTTCATTTTAATTTGATAGTCTTATTTTGATTTTTTATAGTCAAGTTTTAAAATTTTAACATTAAATTAATACTCTCTCCGTTTCAATTTACTTTCAATATTTTAACCAGCCTAGGCACGCTTATCGATGCATATGTTTGATCTTCGATATGACGATATCTTTAATAAATATAGTTATAAAAGCTCTAATAGGTTTATATTAAGAAAATATACATCAAAATAGACTCAACAACATCTTACATAATTACATAGGCTTTCTGAGATATATTAATGGCAAAATACACATATTAAAGACAGTGTAAAGTCAAAAGAATACTTGTTCAAAAAAAAAAAAAAAAAAAAAAGGTCAAAAGAAAACTATTATCTACTATGGTATGTTTTATGACAATTATTGGTTTATGAGATATCAACACCACTTTTGAGCTCCATGATATAAAATGAAACATATAATAAACCTTGAAAAGAAGGTTTTTATTTAGGAGATATATACTCAATACATCTTTATTCTAAAATTACATGAACTTTCACATCAGCTGAACTTTGACATTAGATTTTAAACATGTTACTCTTCTGTTTTGCTTTGTGAGGGAGATACACCTTTATCTCCAAGTTACCTATTATCGATAAAGAGCACGAATGTGTAAACCACCATCAACATGAAGGTTGATCATTGTCCTATAAGTCACTGTACTTTTTTCATCACCAAGTTTGAAGATGAAACTGCTCAGCAGAACAGCAGCAATGATCTTCATCTGCCTGTAAGCAAATTCCTTCCCTAGGCAAATTCGCGGACCTGCCTGTTGATATCAGCCAAAACTTGTAAGACTAAAAATCTCAACATTGAGGACATTATATTTATCTTAGGGACTCAAAAAGGCTTATTATTAGCATGTAATCATCAAATCCAACCTGAAAGGCTGTGAACTTGAACGGATTCTCTGGCTGGAAGATACCGTCTTTACTAAGCCATCTTTCAGGGCGGAAATCCTCTGCATCATCACCCCAAATGTAACTCATCCTTCCCATTGCATAAGGCTGGTAAGCCACTGTGTCGCCTTTATTCACACTATAACCATCAGGAAGTGTGTCATTGGAAAAACACATCTTCGGATCCTGTTGTTACATAAAAACTAAACAAATTATTTCATTTCTTTTTCAGAAACTTCAGCAAGTAACTTGTAACACAAATGAGACAATGAGAGCGATGAAATTTTCTGACTGCGACTAGCTAGACTTACCATTGGAACTGCTGGATAGAGTCTGAGAGTTTCTGTCAATGCAGCATGAAGATACTGCATTCTTTCAAGTGATTCTTCAGTCAAACTAGCAGCAAATTCTGAAAATTTTCCAACTCCTTGCATTTTTGACTTTCCTTACTTCTTCAGCAACATTTTCCTGTATATTCTGGTGTTTACAAAGCATGTAAACAAACCATGAAAGTGTAACTGCTGTTGTATCTTTGCCCGCAATCACAAAGCTCAAGATTATATCTCTCAGATACTTTAAATCAGTATCGCTCTGCTCCAGGAACCTGGACAATATATCATCCTTTTTCATCTGCATTTCCTGTGTCGCGGACAAATTCAAACAGAAAAATTGCATAAATAATCCCTCAGTAAACCAGTATGATTATAGACTTCTAAGTTATATAATCCACTTACTGAGTCATTGCATTGCGAACTTTTCATTAACTCTACTTTGTTACTGATTAATTTGTAAACAAATTCATCAACAATTTTGACACTTCTCTTAAGCTTAGCCTCTGCACCAATGTTGAGAAATTTCTTGATCGGCCAGAAGATGTCTACATATCGTAACATGGTTGAAGCACTAGCATCATCAAAAGCCTGGCCAAATTTCTTTCCTTCTTCATTTGAGCCACACATACTGTCTAGATCAACTCCTAATGCAACTTTGAAAATGGAGTCTAACGTCGACTTCATAAACAAGTCCTATTTACACAAAGTCATTTCAAGTTAGCTCATTTTATCAGAAAAAACACTTTTGTCCAATACAACATGACACTATCTTACCTGAATATCCATAATTTGGTCAGAATTGGCAGCATAGGAAATTATATCTGCTAGTTTCACAGCATTTGTTCTGAAGATCTTGCTACTGTAATCCCTCAACATTCTTGTAGAGAACTCGTGGCTTGATACTTTCCTTTGGTTACGCCATTTTTCACCATCTACGGTAAAGATCCCATCGCCTAATAGATCATTAAGATTGTCATAGTTATAATACCCCTGCAATTTTGAACAAGGATATGTTAGCTTTTACATTGTAGAAACCATAAATATGATAGTAAAATCTAGGGTTGGCAAAAATCGACCCGACCCGAAAACCCGACCCGAATCCGTGAAAATAGCGGGTTTGGGTTGAGATTCTTGACCCGAAAACTTAAATGGGTCGACACGAATCCGACTTGATAATTAAATGGGTTAGGTTAAGGTTGGAATTTTCAACCCGAAAACGACCCATCTAACCGAAATAAGTTAATAGCGAAAAAAAAAAAAATAATAAAAAAAAAACCACAATACTGAAGGAGAGGAAACAGCCCAAGCCCATATTTAAGTCCTAATAAAAACTAAAACCCTAAAATCCTCTTCACACTTTCACTCCTCTCAATATTCTCAACCTCACGAATCAGTTCTCATAGCCGCAAGAGGTTCTTCTCTCTCATTCTCTCATATTTCCATTTTCCTCTCTATTTTTCTCTCTCTTCAATAGTGGAGAATGGAGATCCATATTGCAGTTCAAGAATAAGGAAGGACAAACAATTCCCACGCATATAAATTATAAAAATATGAGAGGCGGCGGCGACACTACTGATGATATCTAGTAGCAAAGGCTAAGTTATAATTAGTGAAAGGAGGTAAGGGTGTGATGAAGCTGATGATGTTTACTATTCTCATCTTTTTCTTATATACATCCTATAATGTATGATTTGTAAGGTTTGATTTTTAATAAAAATATTTTTGGTTTGTAATTTCTAATTAAGGAATTTAGGATATTTGTTACTTTGTTGTTTATTTTGTTTTGAAATGAAGACTTGTGAATTTTCTGAAATTTGATTTAGCCCAAAAAAAAAAACAAAAAAAATAAAATAAAAATAAAATAAAAATCAGGTCATCACGTCAAATTCGGGTTGACCCGAACCCGAAATTATCAGGTTCGGGTTAGGAATTCCAACCCGAAAAAGTTAAATGGATCAGGTCGGGTTGGGGGTTTACTGACCCGAAACTAGGTGACTCGAACACGAACCCGACCCGACCTGATCCGTTTGCCAGCCCTAGTAAAATCCTGCAGTATACAGTTCACTAGTTTAGAAGACTTCTACATGTCTTTAAGAGGCTAAGACCCTCACCAAAATCTAATTTAACACAAACCAACTGTACAATTTAGATGATGATTATTTACTTTCTCTTTTGAGATACGTGATCCATATTATTTTACTTTGTAGTACTTCTTATTACTTATTTTTAAACTTTTTGATAGAGTATAAAATATATTCCTGATAGAGTACAAATCATCAGCTCTGATACTATGTTAGAGGACCAACTTAACCAAAAACTTAACTAATGGTTGAAGCCCATAAATGTATTTTATACTCTCATCACTTTTACCTTGATCTTTCTAAATTTATACGAAGTAATTCTTTCGAAATGAAGCTATGGAAGACTCACCTTTATAAAAATAAAAAATAAGACAAAGTCCAACTCTTCAAAAAAAAAAAAAAAAAAAAAAGGATCACCAACTTGGTCCGATATTTGTATGGACTTACGGAGTATGTCACCAAAGACCCAGTCACAGCCATATAAAATTAAAACAATGGCTCGGATCGGAGTCACCAATTTGATCGATATGTGACACATTGCTTATTAGTTTGATTATTTACTAGGTACACGTCAAATTTCTTTGTACGTCGTTCCTACCCAAAAAATGTGCACCCTTTGGGTACACCTAGCTCTAGCTATAAACAATGACTAAACTTTTCAAGAGTACGATGATGCATTTGTCATAAAAATAACAAGTTGACAACGCAAAGCTAATAGTACAATTATACCAACGAATCAATACCAAATACTACCTCCGTTTCATAGTATTTGCAACGATTAAACATTTTCCCTCTACTTCATGTCAAATTATTATAAATAATATGTAACGGAGGTAGTAGTAAGGAAAAGAGTAATAGTGATACCTTGCCATAGTTATCAAAGTTGGTCTTGAGGATATACTCGACATTAGCAGGATCCGAAGTGTAAACCTCGTTTCGAAACGGTGTTAGTATTCTGTAAGTCTTGTACTTGGCAGCGAGATCAGTCATGCAGTGATGAAGCTTCTTGAAGTTACGGAGGTGATGAAACATGGTTCCACCAATAGGGTGGTATTTTTTCACTCCATTTTTATGAAACAGTTTGTTTGCCAACAATTTGATGCCCAGAAAAGCTAGGATTACTACGATTGTTACGGTAATGAATATGAAATTACCAATTTGGGTATCCATTGTTATGAAACAGCCAGATATTTGGTGCTTTGGTATGTTTATGTTAGTTTTATAGTACGAGTACCATGACCAATTAGTAGGTATTTAAAAAAAAAGTACCTCTTGCCAAATTGGTATAAAAGAAGTAAACGATGATCTTTCGATAAAACAATAAAAGTATTAGTCTTACTAATATGGTAAACATTTTGCTAATTGTCTTTTTAATAGAATAACTGAATTGAAGAGTTGGTGAAGATTAGAGTAAGTCATTGACGAAAGTGTTGAGAGGTGACTTTGAAAATGGAAAACATAAAAATTATGTAGTTGAAGTGGGAAAGATCACTCTTCTATGCACGTAAGAGAGTTATAATAATGACACTAACTATAGACTATATATAATTCTATAACATATACCACTACATAGTACATGTCATTCTACCGTTCTGCTAGATTGGATAAAACTTGCTCATAAGCTCATTCATCACTTAGATTGAACCTTAAGTTTAGTGGCTCTAGGGTTTTTTGTTTTTTTGAAGGATAGCCATATTGATCTGAACTTGCAACTGCATAAGCAAAGATAGATGATATAGAAAAGGCAATAAATTTCTTTTTTTTTTTTGGGTGTTTACAGACTTTTAGGGGTTACCGTGCAGTATATGCTAACAGCTGACCTAAAAATCTAAAAATAATTGTAAAACGTATCCTAAATCAATAAAAATTTCTTTGCATTAGACTTCTTATGTATCATTTTTTTTTTTGATATGTTACCATAAGGCACATATATCATTTTATCTTGTATCTATTGAGATTATTTTTTAATTCCACCTAAGTTACTATTGCGTGTCAAATATCACCTTTTAAGGGGAAAAAACAATATCTTTGTGTAATACTTACAATGTAAACATTTATTGACAAAGTCATAGATAAACTACATTTATATAGAAAAGTGATTATTTTGCAAGTTTTTCCCTCTCATAACTAATGAGTCTCCACTCTCTAGCCTTTAGGCAACCCATACAATTCAAAGTTCTCTTGATGTTAGTGATTACTTCTAGGGCATTAACTTCTTTATTTCCCCCAACAAAACCGCCACCACATCTCTCCTTTTCAACCACATCTCCACCTCCATTCCTCCACAACCAAACTAGCACCACCCCTTGCAGCAGCACTGCCTCAATTTAACACTACCCTCTCTTCTATCTCCTATAGTCAATGCTCCAATGAGACAGGGAAGAGCAAAACTTCCCTCTCTTTTCTATCCCCTTGTTGACTGCGCACCAAACAGCCCCGTACTATATTCTCCATTTTCTTATATCTACTTACTATATCCTCATTTTTTCTTACACACTCAAATCCTCTCAAAACAAGAGTCCTAAATAGAGCTGTCAATTCTGTAAACGGGTTGGGTTTGGGTCGGGTAAGAGAGGATTGGGTCAACTCGGGCCAGGTCAATTCAAATTAATTCCATAACCTATGCGGGTCATGTTATGCTTGAGTCGGGTCACGTCGAATCATACTTCTTTACTTCTTATCGGGTTTGGGTCGGGTTTAGGTCGGGTTAATAACCAGTCAGGTTACATTCGAGTTGGATGAAAAATAGGTCGGTTTTAATTCGGGCTTTCACGGGTTAGGGTAATTCTTGGGTTCGAGTCGGGTTCTGTTCAAGTCAATAATTTGTGGGTTAGAATCAGATCGGGTCATTCTCGAGTTTGAGTCGGGTTCGGTTCAAGTCAATAATTTGCGGGTTATAATCAGGTCGGGTCATTCTCGGGTTCAAGTCGGGTTCGGTTCAAGTCAATAATTTGCAGGTTATAATCAGGTTGAGTCATTTTCAAGTCAGGTCATTCTTGGATTCAAGTCGGGTTATGTTCAAGTCAATAATTTGCAGGTTACAATTAGGTCGGGTCATTTCCAAGTCAGGTCATATTCGGGTTCATTCAACTAACTATAATATAGATAATTATCATTTTATAAAGCTAATTATTTCCTTTAATTTGACTATAATATATATGGAAATATACTAGGGAACTATAGTCTATAATTTAGGAAGAAAAATATCTCCTTTGACCATACAACAAATATATACTATATTTAACTCTAAAATTTGAGGATGATGCTCCTTTCTTTTACTAGCCTGGACTGACATGGTCTCCCTAGACAAAATGATTTGATCAACAATAATAAGACGGTCTAAATTGCATTTAAGGTGATTTGAAATCGAGTCAGGAACAATATGGGTTGAATTAAGGTCAGGTTCGTAACAATTCAGGTTAAAACGGGTTTTGATCAATTTCGGTTCAAGTCGGGTTCGGTGCAAGTTAATTAAATTGGCCGTTGTAAATCGGTAAATCGATGCAAGTTGTAAACCGGTAAAATGGCCGTTTAAAAGCAAATTGAATGGTTCCACACACCCAGTTGGATTTCTGGAGGGTATTAGGGACCATGGTAAACATTTCGAAAATTTTTATTTCCGGGCGAATAAAAGTAAAAAAAAAATCCAAAATTGAAGGCTAATATCCACGCTTTTTGAGAAATTTTGGACGTTTCAGGGTCCGGTGTCGAAAAATCTTGAAATTCTATGGGATAAATCTCGGGGTCATATAATGCCGTTTGGAACCATATATGATCATTATTTGTTGTTATAATTGTTCGTGGTAGGCTTAAATTAATGAAATTGGTGCAAGTTGTAAACCGGTAATTTGGTCGTTTAAAGGCAAATTGAATGGTTCCACCCACCCAATTGGACTCCCAGAGGGTATTAGGGACCATGGTAAACATTTGGCAATTTTTATTACCGGGCGAAAAAAAAAACAAAAAATTTCAAAATTGAAGACTAATATCCACGTTTTTTGAGAAAAATTGGAGGTTTCAGGGCCCGATGTAGAAAAGTATAAATATTTTAGGGGATACATGTCGGGATCATATAAAGTCGTTTGGAATCATATATGATCATTATACGTTGTCATAAATATTCATAGTAGGCTTGAGTTAATGAAATCCGTGCAAGTTGTAAACCGATAATTAAATTGGTCGTTTAAAAGCAAATTAGATGGTTCCACCAACCCAATTGGACTCCCGGAGGGTATTAGGGACCATAAAAACATTTCAGAAATTTTTATTTTTGGGCGAAAGAAAAGTAAAAAAAAATTCAAAATTAAAGGTAAAATATCCACGATTTTGAGAAATCGGATGGTTCTACCAACCCAATTGGACTCCCGGAAAGTATTAGGGATCACCATAAAGATAATTTCCACGCTGTTTAAAGGAAAATTGGATGGAGTCACCCACCCAATTGGACTCCGGATGGTATTAGGGACCATGGTAAACATTTTGGCTATTTTTAGTTACGGGGAAAAAAGCCCAAAAAATTTAAAAATTGAAGGCTAATATCCACGCTTTTTGAGAAATATTGGAGGATTCGAGGCCTAGTGTCTAATAGTCTTGAAATTTTAAGGGATACATCTCGGGGTCATTTAATGCCGTTTGGAACCATATATGATCATTATTTAAATGTTGTCATAAATGTTCGGGGTAGGCTTGAGTTAATGAAATCAGTGTAAGTTATAAACCGGTAAATAGGTCGTTTTAAAAGCAAATTGGATGGTTCCACCCACCCAATTGGACTCCCGAAAGGTATTAGGGACCATGGTAAACATTTTGGAAATTATTATTTTCGGGCGAAAAAAAGTAAAAAAATTCCAAAATTGAAGGCTAATATCCACGTTTTTTGAGAAATTTTGGAGGTTTCGAGGCCCTGTGTCGAAAAGTCTTGAAATTATATGTGATATATCTCGAGGTCATATAATGCCGTTTGGAAACATATATGATCATTATTTGTTGTCATAAATGTCCGTGGTTGACTTGAGTTAATGAAATCGGTGCAAGTTGTAAACCGGTAAATTGGTCGTTTAAAGACAAATTGGATGGTTTCACCGACCCAATGGGACTCCCGATCGGTATTAGGAACCATGGTAAACATTTCGACAATTTTTATTTCTGGGCAAAAAAAAGTCAAAACACGCTTTTTGAGAAAATTTGGAAGATTTGGGGCCCGGTGTCGAATAGTCTTGAAATTCTAGCGGATACATTTCGGGGGTCATTTAATGCCTTTTGAAACCATATATGATCAATATTTGTTGTCATAAATGTTCGTGGTAGGCTTGAGTTAATGAAATCGGTGTAAGTTATAAACCGGTAAATAGGTAGTTTTAAAGGCAAATTGGATGGTTCCACCCATCCAATTGGACTCACGAAGTGTATTAGGACCATGGTAAAAATTTCGACCATTATTATTTCCAGGCAAAAAAAGTCTAAAAATTCTAATATTAAAGGCTGATATCCACGCTTTTTGAGAAATTTTGTAGGTTTCGGAGCCTGGTATAGAAAAGCCCTGAGATTCTAGAGAATACATCTCGGGGTCATATAATGTCGTTTGGAACCTATATGATCACTTATTGTTGTCATATATGTTCGTGGTAGGTTTGAGCTAATGAAATCAGTGAAAGTTGTAAACCAGTAAATTGACTGTTAAAAGGAAAATTAGATGGTTTAAATTTCACCCACCCAATTGGACCGCCGGAGGGTTTTAGAAACCATTGTAAACAGTTCGGAAATTTTTATTTTCTGGCAAAAAAAGTAAAAAAAAAATTCTAAAATGAAGATAAATGTCCACGCTTTTTGAGAAATTTTGGAGGTTACGGGGCCCGATGTCGCAAAGTCATGAGAATTTAGGGAATACATCTGGGGGTCATATAATGCCGTTTGGAACCATATATGATCATTATATGTTGTCATATATTTTAGTGCTAGGCTTGAGTTAATGAAATCGGTGCAAATTGTAAATAAATAGGTAAATTGGCCGTTTAATGGAAAATTAGATGGTTACACCCACCCAATTAGACTCCCGGAGGGTATTAGGGATTATGGTAAACATTTCGGTAATTTTTATTTTCGAGCAAAAAAAATGTTAAAAAAATCCAAAATTGAAGGCTAATATCCATGCTTTTTGAGAAATTTTGGAG